TTTTTTGGATTTTTTTCTTTGTCGGTTTTTGCCAACAGCTCAATTATTTGAGCGGGGGCGGGGGCGGGGCTTACCAGAGAAGGAACGTCGATGCCATCCTTCTGGTGGCCACGGCCCATGGCGAAGTACTCGTCAATGGGCTCGAGCTTGGTCTCGGCATAACGGGGAGGAACAGCCTGTTTGTTTCGTAAGCTTGTAATTCTATGTGGTATTGACCATGGATGGAGGGGGGACGTGAGTCACGTACGTTGAAGAGCTGAATGTGGTCGAGGACGTGGTCGTAGTGAGCAAAGTCGTTGCTGGGAATGATGTCGACACCGGCATCCTTCTGGATCTGCCAGTGAGCAAGACGAAGTCTCTTGCCCTCAGCGAGGAGCTCGTCGCGGGAGAGCTTGCCGCCCCAATAGGCCTCGTTGGCCTTCTTGAGGTCACGGTTCACACCCATGCGGGGGAAACCAAGGACCGATGACTGAACCATCTTGAATGCTGTTGCTTGTCTGTGCAAAGTATTCAAAGGTGACTGAAATGTGCGTTGTGTAAAATTACCTCGCCGACAAGAAGCAAGGTAAGGAAGAAAGAATTTGGAAGACAGGTCGGTTGAGGAGGGGAGGAGGAGGAAGAAGGGAAGAGTGAAACGGACGGGAAGAAGGCGGAGGAGGGGTTAATAGAAGTAGTCGGACGGACAGGCGAGGAGGGTGAGAAAAAAAAAAAAACTCTACCAGGTGGCCGAGTCGGTCGGTGAATTGGGCAATTGCGTGCGAAGGTACGGCGGAAGATGAGGAGGGGAGCAACAGCACAGCAATGGAAGCTCAGTGGCTGGGGTGACGGGTCCCGGGTCCAGTCAATTGAGAGCGAAGTCGGCTTTGGATCTTCTGTTTCCCTTTGGTTCCTTTGGGATTTCCCTTTTCCCTTTTCCCACCATACGGAGACCTTACGGAGACATAAGGTACATTACGGATACCCTACGATCAGCCAGTGACCCGGTGATTTTGTCTCTATCTGCTTGGTTTACGAATTTTCTGCCTGTGCCTCTCCCTCGACTGTCTTCCTTGCCAAGTTCCTCCCTCCTCTTCCTAGTATGGTCAATGGTGTATTCTGGTCGTTCCTACCTACCCCTCCATTGCGTATGCCTGGTGCTTGCCCAGGAAAGAAAAAAAAATGAGGCGAGAATTCTTTTCCCACCATGGTCCCTTAGCGTTAAGGTGGGGTAGTTTTGGAAGGGAAGGAGGGGTTGTCGCAGATTGCCCTTGAGATACGGCCCTCTGACACGCCTTGAGAATGCAGCGTGGCGTGAAGCTGGAGACTCGATTGGGGAAAGGTCTCTGGACGCATCCACCCAAGCAAGAAACATTTCTGGGCTGCTGATGGCGGGGTACAACAATTGAACAATGTCACTACCGTGAGCTATCAGTAACTATCATGTTTAACTGGGAGTTCCCGGCGGCAACACACGAGCCACCCATTGTTCTCTGTTAGTGCCCCTCAGTCCCACACCTGAGAGGCAACGTACACAGTAAGACCAGACCCGAGTTCCGTCACCGTCACTTTCCGTTGAATGGTTATCATCTTCTTCTGCCTTCTATGTTGCAAGCTGACGTGCCGTGCCTCCCTCGCTTGTTCACACATTGCGTCGGTGTGCCTGAGGATAATGGCCCGAATGGTCTAGAATCTGAGACTACTGGCTGTACGTGCCTGTTGATGCATGAGACGACAACTCCATAGCCTAAGGTAAGTAAGCGCTTTAGGGCAGGGCAAAAGGCAAGTTGAGATTGTCCATGTACATGACAAGTTGAGAAAATGTGAGGATAGGTAGCAACCCAAAGTCAAAACAATAGACGGGAAACTGCGAGCAAAGGAAACTCAGGAAGGAGGGGCAGACGTTTCCCTATTGGCTGAATCCCACTTGAGCGCGGCAGGAACGCAGGGGACCTGCCTCGATATGGAAGGGCGGTGTGGGAAGTCGGGGAATGCGCCTCCAGCTGCTTGTTCTTGCTCGTGCCTGCCTGGTGGCTGCCCGTCGTGAGAAGTTAAGAATATCCGTAGGTACGTACAGAAATTCGAGCCTGAGGGAAAGAACGTTTTCACACCCTCTTACCTTAACGCCTTGGGCTTATCGTGCTCGATGCTGTCCGCGGCACGTGCGCGCTCGATGCTTTGCCTCAGGTACGAAAGTAATCCACTCGAGCTCGTCTGGTCCCATTTTTGTCGCTATAGTCTCCTTTCATTCGCTCAACCCTCCGCCTTACTGGAGCCGCCGCACCTTTTTTCTTCCCCTTGCTTGAAGCTGATTGTCGGAGACCTGCTAGGGTGACCTTACTCGAGCGTGTTGAGCTCTGCGCGCTTCAGGAACTTCCGCCTCAGATTCCATAGACATTCTCACCGTTGTTGACGACCCCTTCTTGACTCTCGCAGCTTCACTAGCTGCGCTGAGTTGTCACCTTGTCTTGCTCTGTTGAGAAACTGATGCATGTTGCATTCCTGAGTTGTCTACTTCGGTCAATCAATGTCTCACCCTCACGCGTCAATTGTCTCCCTCGATTGGACGAGCCTTTCCTCCTTCAACTGAGGCCATGACGGCAATTGCAGGTCAAACGTCGAGACCGCCTCGAAGCCGTTCTAGCTCTCGCATTGTTTCTTTTTCCTCGACAACGGTAGCCAATAGTGAATGAGCCGCCACTCGTCACCGCTTCTTATAACGGCCTCCCTCAATGCACCAAGATTCAAGACAGACTACGCCAGCCTGGACCAACATCGTGTCGCTCGCTTGATAGTCGTAGAAGCAGTTGAAGCTTCCGACCTCGACTCTTTCGTGATCATCAACACTGCTCATCCGCTAACATCAGAGCGGCGTGGGGCCTTCACACGGCCGCCATTAACGCATTTTTCGATTCTGGGGCAGTCCGCAATGGCGTGATCGGCGGCAAAAAAAAGATCCAGGATCCAGTCGGTCAGTCTGGGACCTCTGGGTGACTGGCACGAATGGCACCGACTGTCAACTGGGTCTACGGCCTGCCTCTAGACTCTTTTCACTGGAGCAGGTTGGAGCTCACTGGAGTAGGAGACTGGAAGCATGGAGCACGCAGAAAAATCCGCGCAAAACCTTCCCAGCAAACAACCCTGGCTCCCGGTTCTTCCTCTTGTTACGGGTCGGGGTCTCATTCTCGAATCTCGAGTTCTCAAACCCCTACCGCCAACCCCACCTCTCCATACCCGTACATCGGAGCCAGCACGCGCCGATATTGCAGGTTGAGAATGACCGGGCTTTTCAATGGGCACCGCCTCCAACGCTGCCGCCCGGCCCGGCCACAATATGCCCTGTGCTCGACCAAGCAAGCCTCCTGGCCCCCCCCCTTACCAAGGGCAGCGGGCTCAAGGAGACTTTTAGACTCTTTTTCGCGGGTCGCCTAGCGTCGAATCCGGCCGAGACCCAGTTTCAAGTCTCCGACTCTGCACCTCGTATTATACGGGCCTTCACTTTTTCCATAACCTCTTCCAGACTCTCAACTCCACGACTGAAACCAAACGTCCCATGGTAGCGATATAGGTGCCCGGACCTTAGCATCCCGTCTTTCTCCTCCATGAGCAGCAGGATTTTCCCGCCCGCGTTGCACTGCCTCGACGATCCAAGCAGCATCAGACGGATACTTGGGTCTTGGAATGCAACAACGCGGCGGCGCAGTCATTTTTGGACTACTCGAGCTTGGAATGCCGTCAATGCCAGCTACGAGAGCTAGTGCTTTCAAGCATTGAAGTGTACCCCTTCGCAATGACGCTGGCTGGCGATGCCTTCAGTCATGATCACTAGCCGAGTTCAGCAGGGTTAAGCAATCGCGATGAGCCTGCCAGAGCGAGTATTCCCCGCGCTATAGTCCGGGATAGTGGGTGGCACCGAAACATGATCCTTCTTGTGGGCTTGTCTAGATTGTTTACTGGCCACAACTGATAAGGAAACGACGATTCAAGACGCCTCATGTTTTCATCCGACACAAGACGCCCGTCTCAAGGCATCAGTTGAACTGCTTTCTTGCCGTGTATATTAAAAAGGGACGACGCCACCAAAAATAGGATATCAAGAAACCATCGTTGCACTGTCTGAGGGTAGATTGAGAGATTATCGAGCACCTTGGCCTACCAAAAAAATCTCGCCAAACCATTGACTGCAACTCCGAGCCAGGTGTAAGCAGGAGAGATCGCCTGCACAGACGAGACAGTTCTTGACAGGGCTCGGCGGGAACGTCAAGAACTGCATCCAAGCACCGCACCCCGGTCCTATATCAGCCACGGCTAAGATGCCCCAAGCTTCCGCTACAGCCGTGTCCCACGAGAACACAGCCGACAACCCTGTCGCCTGAGGTAGTTGAGGGAGCACTTCGCGCGGCACGACTCCCACACCAATGCACTCAGTGCGTTTGACAATGACGTTTGAAACCAACACCCCTACCATCCCAAGCAGCATCATCTCGTCTTTGACGTGAATCGCTGCCCCATATCAGCGTTCTGTTAAGCTGAAGATGCAGCAAGAGTCCCAGCAACTCCCGACAAGCCCCAGCAAAGCCCTGGCTGAGCACCAAGCCAGCCACACCCTATACCCTCCTTTCTGAAACTGGCTTAACATCGATTATCACGTATAAGCTTATTCATACACTGCACTTGGCAGACGACACAGGGGCCATGGTGTTAGGGAAGCTCGTGTGTGACCGTGTAGTTCCCCATACCTGCGGCGCCTCTACCCTGCCAAAGTTGCATCCAGATTTGGAGCAATTGATAATGAAGAGCGTCCTCGGATCCATCTAGGACTAGTTCTGGTGTGCTCTCTCTTTTCTCTTCTCAAGCTCTCTGGGAGAGTCAAAGTAACAAACGAAGTCAACGGCCTTTCATTATTAGTATGCTCTGGGTTTTCTGGGTTTTCTGGATTCTTCAAATTCTTTAGTATTTTCATCTACTTTACTTTCTCATCCAGAGCTGGCTCTTATACCAAGTGCTGGAACACTATCTACACAATGGCACCCATGACTAGACCACAGGGCATCTTCCACAGACCATCAGCGTCCAACGTGTAAGTCGCCTGCAATACGTCAATGACCCTCAACCTGACCTAATCTTCTCTTTTACAGATCATCACACGAAGATGATAACCTAGCGCGCGTATTCGTCGGTCGAGGCGAGAAGATGAAGGAGTTCCGTATCAACAAGCAGAAGCTCAGCAACGCTGCCACCTTCTTCGAGGATCAGCTGGATGCCACACCAGCCGGCGTCAAGGTGACGCCCAACCAGACACCAGTGCCGGTATGGTTGCCGCAACAAAAGTCGACTATCCGCCTTCCCAATGAATCCGCCTCCATGTTCGAGCTCTTCGTAGTATGGCTGCATCAGAGAGACGGCTTCCGTAGACACCTTGACGAGATGATCACTCTCGTCAGCGATGCCCCTGGCGTCCCGTGCCAACGGCTTCACTGGGCTCTAGTCCGCCTTCACATCTTCGCTGCTCGGCTCGACCTGCACCACTTGCAAGACCTTGCGATTGATGCCTTGCAAGACATCTACCTCCGCTGCGACTGGGATGTCACACCTCGCTTCGTTCAATACGTTTACGGCCAGTGCGATGCCGAGTCATCGATGCGGATTCGGAGGTGGACCGTGGCGATGGTGGCCTGGTCTGTTGCTGGAGGTTCGTCGTCGATCGTAAAGGACGATGGCGGACTCGAAAGGTTTCAGGAAATGTTTGAACGCTTCCCCGACTTCGCAACCGAGTTCACCTCGCATCTGCGCAAGATGAAGTCCAGCAAGCTGGACACACGCATCAAGAACCCTCAACTGCGCATCCCGGCTAACAAGCTTCGTAACGAAGAGCGCCAATTCGGTTTTCGGCAATGTTCGTTCCACAGCCATCGGGCTGCCGTCGGCGAGCGTAGGTGTCCCCATACCACGGCCAGCAGAGAGCTGGATAATTTTCTGCTTGTGCCGCTGGTGATGGAGGTTGCTCCAGAACCAAGCCGTTGCCACTCCCGTCGCGATATGCGGATACCCCAACCTCCTTTCCGCCGAGAGCGGATGCCTTACACCGCGCAGGTGTTTTAAAGGGAGTGCGAACATCGCCAACCTCCACGGGTGGAGGGTGCCAGTCTAGTTCGGCGGAAAACTAAACTTATCAAGACACACCAAAATTCTAATTCTTCAAGTCGTCATTCGAAATCACCTCTTCCTCTTCACAGGTCCTCGGATTCGGTTCTTCTAGGGACCGGGCATCCGTGAGCCATGAAGACACCAAAGCCGTCTTTCGGCTTCGATGCCTGGCGGAAGGCGACGCGACTGCGTCCCGCGTCGGCTAGCTCAAAAACGAAGCTGCCGCTGCCGTCGCACTGGCCGAGGTCGATGGACTGCGTTCCGGGTTTGACCAAGACGGTGCCCAGAAGATTCTGCTTCTGCCGTACGGCATCGTCCCCTTCGTAGCTGGGGACGCGAAAAACGCGCATCGTGGTGGCGCCCTCGCGCTGGATCAGCTCCCAGCTCTCCGAGTCCTCGGGCATGGTGAAGAGGAGGCGACACTCGGTCGATTCCTGTTGTCCCTGGACGCCGCCAAAAGTGACAAGTTGCGCGACTCTGTTCGCCTTGTTTCCTATAAAAGAGAACCGTTTGAGTACATTCATTCATTCATTCAGAATCTCCTTTGTCAGGGAAACTATACACCAGAGAGGCATATTTGCCAACCCAAAAAGACAAGAAATCATTTCAAAAAAAAAAGCACCAAGAGAAGAAGAAGATGTCCTACCTGACGCGTCAATATCTTGGTTGACGTAGAAAAAGGCGGACGGATCCTCTTGTTCGAAGGGTTGATCTTGCAAAAGCCAAGTCAAGGAGGTCGGGGCATCGACTCGCGCGCAATCCGTCATTGCGTCGTGTTGTTGCTGCTTGCCGAAGAAGCTCGCTCTGCCGAACGCGGTTCCGGAGAGCGACAGGACGAGCATGGAGACGATGATGCTGGGACGAGCCATATTTTTTTGAATGTACATATTCAACTACCCAGTAGGGGGGATGGATATCCTGGATTACTTTTTTTTTTTTTTCCAAATAAAAGAAGACACTAGATGTCTTTTTGCTGGACTTTTTCTTTCGATTCCCTATTCTAAGCTGTGACTGTTTCCGACGAGCCGATGATGAAAGTTAAACCGGTGTACTGAGTAAGATGAGGGAAGCGGCTGGCTGGATGATCGGCGGTGATTTGAGGAAGGGATCCCAGGTTATCCGTGGAGGTGGGATGTGTAAGTCGAGTACGCTATCCGAGCACCAGTGGAAACACAACCGTCGTCGTCGTTATGTCGTATTATGGAAGAGCGCACAAGAGTTGTTCAAGAGGATGACCAAAAGGATAAGAATATAGCCAAGAGCCAGGTTCAAGAGGACGGAAGGAAGGGAAGGAGGGGAACGGGTGGTGCGGTCTGACACGATATTATACTCTAGAATGTACCCAATCCCGACTTTGACTTTTGTGCTCTGATCTGGGTTAGGTACCATGTAGGCAGCCGGGCGTTCTTGGTGGTGGTGGTGGTGGTGGTGTGGTACAGGGGTTAGTTAGAAAGGGAAGCTTTTCTTGCTGCTCAGAACCCTTTGGTGCAAAAAAGCTTGGTCTCGCTCTCTTTTTTCTGCTTGTCCGGGTCATCAGACCAGGTACAAAGTACACTGCTGCACTCCAAGGTAAGGTGTTAAAAGTGTCTAAGTCAGCGAGGTATTCTACCAGTACGTTTCTCTTCCCCCAATTCCCGGGCGGACTTGTGACACCCGGGTCTGACGCCGCTTTGGCTTCTTTTGGTTTGCGTTTTGGTGCTTCCCTCGCGACGGCGCTGACGCTGACGCTGACAGACTTGACTCTTGGTTGTGTTTCTGTCTCTCTCTATGGGTATGTCTGTCTCTTTCGCTGCGTCCCCTGTATTGGTTCCCGTACCTCCCAGGCGCAAGCTCAGGCCCGCCGTCCACAGTAACACCAAGTCCGTCATTAGCATCCCTTGCAGTTTCCCCCCTCCCTTTCCCCCGTGCGGCCGTGCCCCTCCTTCCTTCCTTATTTTCTTTCTGTAAGGTACGTAAGGGGCGATGATGCAGATGATGATGGGGTTACTGAATACCTAGTGGATTTCCCCGTTCCCGGAACATGTGTTTCGATATCCCTTACCTAAGTAGGAAAGAAACGAACGAGGCGTGGTTCGGGTCGAGTGCGGCGTGCCAAGGGGGTGCCACGGGGCGAGGGGCCAAGGGAAAAAGTGACATTGAGACTGACCTTATTGAGGTACAATGTCAGAATGTCAAGGTCCGGCGAGCAAGGGGGGGGGCCCGGGGGAGTCGGGGGACGGAGAGGCGCGGGTGCACAGCTTTTTAGGCAGACAACACTTTTTGTTTTAGTGCGGTGTAAGGCAGACCTTTGGATCGAGAGATATTACCTAGGTATTAGCTCACCATTGTAGTTACTGGGATTGGAGCTGTACGAGTAGAGTGGTTTCTTCGGATTCACACCCAGCTTACTCAGTACTGGCCGTTTTCAGTTTCTAGTTCTCAATTTCCTATTTAGGATAAGGTTTTTGATTCGTTCGGATCACGGGTTGTGTCAAGTTCGTGGAAGGTTCGTGGTATTACTGCCAGTGTTTGGTTTGGTTTTGGTTTTGGTTTTACGCTGGTGGGACTATGAATGTCTTTGACAGACATTGGACGACTTTGTATTCGATTTAGGAACTTGGATACATATTGGTCGTCGTACCGTAAGATGAATCGGTCGACGGATGCGGTGGTGCATTTCGGGGTACCTAGAATGCCCCCGGATGAATGCTACATTATCAGGCAAGGGATGAGGAGAAAGCTAGGCTGACCGACGGTCGAAGGAGAAGGCAGCACGAGAGTAACACAGGAATTAGGAATAAGAAGAGAGGCTCAGCCCTGGGGGGGGCCATTGAGCCAAGGCCATGGTCTTCTTGTTCCTTTTGCGCAGCGAAGCTCCAGCGTCTCATCACCCCCTAATCCCAGAAATCCAATCCCAGCTTCGACGCGTGCAGACAAGGGCAGAGCCTGAATTTGAATTAAGGTGCTAAATTAGGGTAGCTCGTGGGATCTTCTTTCTCTAGGTGAGAGTCTTGGCTTTCGGCGGATCAATACCGTCATGACGGATCCTACCCATCCTCCCTCCCCTGCGTTCGTCTTTTTGTGTTTCCCTCGGGACTGGTGGACTGACAGCGCAGGGTTCTGGCTTGAATGCGCGGACAGCGCACTTACACGCGCGCGCCGGGTTGCGCGCACGCGACAAATCCGAGCTGTAGGTTGGATGAACCCACACGTCTTCCCATCCTCTTGGGTTCGTTCAGGATCTTCAGTGAGCCAACCTCTTAAGCACTGGACAAGGGCTGTAAGCGTGTCGATGCATGAAGCACGTACGAGTTTATCGGGGGAAGCTTTGCAGAGTCAATTGAGTTATCAAGACTGAAAGACGCATCGCAATGTCTCGCAGCTTGGCTGGCTCCTCACTCAGTAAGCACTTTGACAAACGGAGAAGATGCGTTGCGCTAGCCCCTGTCTCCGTCTGTCCTCTCATCCCCCCATCGTCCACCGCCGGCGCAGAGGCTTTCCGTCCGGACGGAGCTACGATGGTCCAAGTTGGGAACTCCCGTCGCGTGCTATACGGATCCACGTTATTCTGCGAAATTGCCTGGATCTGAACGGACGCTGGTTCGCTTGTAAACGCAAAGTCCCCTTACCTAGCTGAGAAGGCCCTAGCATCCATCCGCAAGAGAGGCCTTCCCCAACTTTGTGGGAGGCCTTTTCTGGTATTGGGAAATGAGCTTTCGTTGGCCTTATGGGGTTAGACGGGGGCATTTCGAATGGTAAATACGAGCATAGCGTGCGAAAGTAGGGACGATCTTCCTCATTCGCTTCTTTAGCCCTTGGAGTTAGGGTAGTTTACGCGGGATGGCGGATTCCTTCATTCCATGTCAAAGTGGACGGGCAGAGAGAGGTGTGGGAATTCCAAGCTAAAATAGCACGGAGATCATTTTATTTTCGTATTCCCTGGACCTGAACCCCCCCGTCTCTCTTCCAGCCAATGTCCCAATTATGCCCCTTGTCTGAAGGCGGGTATTCTCGAGAGTTGAGTGTTGGCTCTCCGAAAGATCGTGAGATTTGGGTACAAGAATGTTTGGCCCTGTGATATTCGAGACTGGATTTCTTGGGAGTTTAGGTCACCTCATCGGCCGGGCTTCTATGGAGCCAACGCCTGCGCAAGTGCTAGGGAGCGTTTGAGCCTGAGTGGTTCGGAATGTTAGCCCCGCCAGTCTAACGTTCTGCTTTAAAGCGCGCCTCTTCCATTCTAGAGAAGGCCTCGGATAATGCAAGTCTTTAGATTGCATCAAGGAAAAGTACGCAGTAAGTAGCAGACAGGCCAGACAAATACGTGATAGAACATAGTCTCGGAACGTCAATGACATCTTCCTCTTCGCCCGACTGCTGCGCCGAGCCGCGACTTGAACCAAACCCAGGGAGACCGACATGAACAGGGGATCGGAAGACAGACAATGTCCATTGTTGCCGGTATGAACACACCGCATACCTAGTCACCGGCCGATATGTCCATCTTCCGTTGCCCAATCCCCTCTCTCCGCGCGTTGTCTACTCCGTACGCCGTCAGCAGCACCAAAGCCGGGCGTACCAATTGGGAGCAGCCCGCTGAGCCTCTCCGGTGGCATCCGGGGAGTGGAGTCAAGAAAAGGACTTGAGTACCTATGGAAAGTGTGGTTTGGAGAAGCGGCGCAGTCTGTTGCAAGAGATCCGTTTGGTTGCGGCCGGGACATTGTGACACTGGCACCGATCGAGAGACAGACAGCATGTGCGAAGTAAACCGACCCGACCAAAGGATCTTTTGGGATCCAATGAGCAACGTATTGATCTGCCCTGTCAGAATTTAGCAAGAAGAGGAAATCCATACAGCGCCCAGCTAGTCTCACATGTGGCTAGTTGGCTAGATACATCAAACCATGACACTAAAAACTCCGCAGATCTCGACATCATGTGCTGATCCAAAGTCTGGGGAAGAAAAAGAGCTCTAGCGTGCTCTCTGATGATCTTCCAAGACCAGGCAGCACGCAATAATTACATTCTTGACTTGATCATGACAGCCAAGTGCCCAATGGATTTATCGAGAGAAATCATCCAAGCAACTTGGACTCAAAGAAGAAAGCCATACTCTGAGAAGCGTAGGTATTACCATCGCTCATTTACACATTTCGCCAGCAAGGATCGAGTCCGTCGCCGGTGCGAGTGAGCTAGCGCCAAAGACGGTGCGTTTCTTCTTGTTCCCCCGGAGCTGCCATGCCAGCCTGGCAGACCTGTCGGTCTCGAAGCTTAAAAGCCTAGGAGAGGGGAAGAAACTCTGTGACCGACGCCATTTCCCATTGTAGACGTTCTTGTCAGGCGTGTTCGGACGCGCGCGCGGGGCACTGCTTATAGATACCTACCTTAAAGCTCTCAGAAGGAGTCGCAAAATGTCATAGGCAGGGCCATCAGGACCATTAGGACCCGGGCATCGGACGCCGGGGCGCTCGAGTGGTCCGGATCGTTCGGGTCCCGTGTTGTAAGCGCAAGTGGTGTATTCCTTTCTACTCGGTACACCTACAACCTCTTAAAGTAGTGGTTCACATTCTTCATCTGTCACAGACTGCGCCCAAGTTTATAATGAACAGCAATATCAGTACATGAGTCCTCAATGGCGGACACTCACACATCCCTACGAAATATGTCCAGTCCAGCATTGGATGGGATGAAACGAAAGGGCCTATTGAAACAAACCCAGACGAAGGGGGGAGGTCTTTGGAGGCAGCCACGCAGCCAGCCCGAACACGTGGAGGAGCTGTAGGGACGGCCCTTCCAAAGTTTGCCGACATTCCAACGACTTTCCTCCATGAAGGAGGCGGGGGCCATTTTTCCCAATGCGAAAGCGAAGACGATGATATGATTGCCTCCAGTCTTTCCGCGACCAACACAGGCTTTCTGCAAGGCATAGCCCGAGAAACCAAAAGGTAAGAGGCATGTTGAAAGTTTCGACCAAAAGCTCGCCGGAGATCCGAATGCAATTGTTTCCCTTCACATTCCCCGGGACATCGGGATGCCGGAACATCCCTAAAGCACGCAGGTCCGAGCAGCCAGCTCTCACGATGACTGGTCATTGAGACTCCAGCACGGGCACTCGGCCGAGACGCAGTGAGGCAAGCACCTCCTCCCTCACAACCTTCCAAGATTTCACATATACTCAATTCCCGATATTGAAGGAATGCAAATGACCACACTCTCTTCCTTGGGTAGAATCACCATTTTCTAATCCACATTCCTCCACCGCCCATCGAAATCTCACAAGAAACCGATATCGAATTCCATGTATCCTCTGTGAATCACATTTCTCACGATACCTTCAGGAATCGGCCCAGTATGTATCAGTAGCCCCTTTTGAAACGAAACACCGGCATCTTATCACCGAGCACCCGCACCATACTCCGTACCTTGATCCCAACGCACATTCCCCGACTCACGCATGCTCCAGGTACCGCCCAGACACGAGCCTCACGTGATTCTCGGCTGGATAATTCGGCCCCGAGAGTCAGTCTCGAAACTTTGGCCAAAATCCTTCCACCCCGTCAATCACGATGTTCGTCTCCTCTCACTGACGAAACTCCTCATCAAATTGCAAGGCAACAGTGACCATTCCGTTCATCGCTTTTCTCCCTCCTCCCTCTACATCTGAACTCATTCTCTACTGTCTTAAAATCACAAGGTAGTGAGGCCAACAATATCTCCACCTTCCAGTCCTCCAGACAGGTAGACAGCGCATTGGATTTCTTACGGATCCAACATTTCGTTCGTCGAAATGCCTGGCTGCTTTCAGTCACTCCAGAGGCGTCGTCCACTTCACGTAGCGTCAATCCATCACTCCTCTGGCGTCTTGGCTCGAGTTGAGGGGCAAGACATCTCGTATTTTCCCCGCCTCCCCCGCATAGGATCAGTTCGAAAACGTCTCCATGTCGTATGGGAAGCTATTCGAGATCATCGATGAAAGATACGTCAAAGCAAGGCAGCTTCGGTAAGAATGCGCGTCACCTAACGTCTTCAGGGACAATACTTTGGAAAGAGAGCAATGCCTCACACCCATTTGTCTAGAAACGACTGTATTGTCTTCCTCTTCACTCTGAGTTTTTTTCTTCTTTCCTGTTCCAATTGAATGCCTCATCTTCGAGGTGAGTTTCTTACTCAAACAACGCCCCGGAACCCCATACGAGGCCCAGTCGTCGATACGTACATAAAATATCCGACGTCCTTGCCGAATGTCGTTTCATCATGTCCATCGTCAATAAGAAG